CGATAGATCTCTCTCGAGACCAGATAGAAGATCGCTCGCGCGCTCTCGCGCGATATAGCGGGCTGCCGCGCCGAGCGCCTTTGCTCGCGACATGTTTATCGCCTTGTCCGCTCATCCTCCCGCTCACGTCTCCTCTGTGCTGATAGACTAGGCCCAAGAGTACAGGATATACGTTTAGTTTCCCTCCCCCCCCCGGAGCTAATATAATGCACCGTAGCCAGACCGCTGCAGTACATGGCTTGACACTGGGGATCTGTAGTGATCAGTGAGTGATAGTGACAGTTCCTCATGTAAACCAGTTTAAATGAGGGTAAGTGATCCCTGGTTGGGTCTCATATGGGAATGGAGGGGGGCTGTCATCCCATCTTTCTCTTCTTCCTATTCTTCCCTCTCTCTCTCCCACCATGACTCCATTTCCTACATACAGGGCCGTAGTTGTGTATGTGTGTGTGTGTTCCCGACTGTTGATGCGTCTGTACGTTTTTGCAACTGTGCGTACATATTTACAATTGAAGTCGGAGGTTTACATACACTTAGGTTGGAGTCATTAAAACTCGTTTTTCAACCACTCCACAAATGTCTTGTTAACAAACTATAGTTTTGGCAAGTCGGTTAGGACATCTACTTTGTGCATGACACAAGTCATTTTTCCAACAATTGTTTACAGACAGATTATTTCACTTATAATTCACTGTATCACAATTCCGGTAGCTCTCCAGGAACAGTTGGAGAGCCCTGGTCTAGAGACTAATATCCTTTCAGACAAGTATGTCTTTCAGAAGGGCCATTAACTTGAATAACTGAAGACTTGGAGCAGCTTTGATGATTTATCAGTTGTATTGCCACATCCTACAACTTTGGGTGCTAAGGGGCTTTTTCAGATTGATTTTGGGCCTCTATGCAATGGTAGTATTCAAGTTTTTTTTTTTGCACACAGGAAAATGTCCTGATCCGATTATTACTGATGTTGAATGGAATTGACAGGTATCGTATATGTATAAATGGCAGGTATTGAGGCTATACATTGTTTCCTTGTGAGGAATGCTGAAAATATAATCAGTGGAGTAAAACAACCTTAGGTTTTGGGGTATGATGGGGGTAAGACTAGAAGCCTTTTGCAAATATTCTAATATCCAAAAAATCTGGCTAAGTGACTGACCGCAGGAGACATGGCCTGGATGTGAACACCTCCTTTAACTGAAACAACTCGCCCTCTGCCTCTTGACACTGGAGAAGATCAACGGTTTCACAGTTGGGCTCTGAGTCATGGGAGGAGCTTGTTCCTGTGACAGCTGAAACTAGTGGGTCGGGTGGCGCCCCACTGTCTGATTCATGTCGTGTGATTCCTGAAGATAGTTTCTCGATTATATTGACTGACTGCTGTTTTTATGGGGTGAGTGAGCTGAAGCCTGAATACTCGGACTCCTTTCATAACTACTTCCACATCACCTACGACTCAACATGTACCCAGGTAATGTCTTCATGACTGACACTCCATTATGTAGTTAAACTATTGCTTTAATAATTTGTTAAAGGATCTGTTCATATATCCTGGTCTAAGGCACAGCATCGCAGTCCTAGCTGTGCCACTAGAGATCCTGGTTCGAATCCAGGCTCTGTCGTAGCCGGCCGCGACCGGGAGACCCATGGGGCGGCGCACAATTGGCCCAGCGTCGGGTAGGGGAGGGAATGGCTGGCAGGGGATGTAGCTCAGTTTGTAGAGCATGGCGTTTGCAATGCCAGGGTTGTGGGTTCGATTCCCACGGGGGGTAAAAATTACAATAAAAAAAATAAAATAATAATGTATGCACTAACTGTAAGTCGCTCTGGATAAGAGCGTCTGCTAAATGACTTAAATGTAAATGTAAATTCCAGTGGGTCAGAAGTTTACATACACTAAGTTGACTGTGCCTTTTAACAGCTTGGAAAATTCCAGAAAATGATGTCATGGCTTTAGAAGCTTCTGATAGGCTAATTGATATGTTTCGAGTCAATTGGAGGTGTACCTGTGGATGTATTTCAAGGCCTACCTTCAAACTCAGTGCCTCTTTGCTTGACATCATGGGAAAATCAAAAATAAATCAGCCACAAAATTGTACACCGCCACAAGTCTGGTTCATCCTTGGGAGCAATTTCCAAATGCCTGAAGGTACCACGTTCATCTGTACAAACAACAGTACGCAAGTATAAACACTATGGGACCACGCAGCCGTCATGCCGCTCAGGAAGGAGACGCGTTCTGTCTCCTAGAGATGAATGTACTTTGGTGCGAAAAGTGCAAATCAATCCCAGAACAACAGCAAAGGACCTTGTGAAGATGCTGGAGGAAACAGGTACAAAATTATCTATATCCAAAGTAAAACGAGTCCTATATTGACATAACCTGAAAAGCCGCTCAGCAAGGAAGAAGCCACTGCTCCAAAACCGCCATAAAAAAGCCAGACTACGGTTTGCAACTGCACATGGGGACAAAGATCGAACCTTTCTGGTCTGATGAAACAAAAATAGAACTGTTTGGCCATAATGACCATCGATATGTTTGGAGGAAATAGGGGTTAGCTTGCAAGCCGAAGAACACCATCCCAACTGTGAAGCACGGGGGTGGCAGCATGGGGAAGGAAAATTATGTGGATATATTGAAGCAACATCTCAAGACATCAGTAAGGAAGTTAAAGCTTGGTCGCAAATGGCTCTTCCAAATGGACAATGACCCCAAGCATACTTCCAAAGTTGTGGCAAAATGGCTTAAGGACAACAAAGTCAAGGTATTGGAGTGGCCATCACAAAGCCCTGACCTCAATCCTATAGAAAATGTGTGGGCAGAACTGCGATTAAGGAGGTCCACAAACCTGACTCAGTTACACCAGCTCTGTCATGTGGAATGGGCCAAAATTCACCAAACTTATTGTGGGAAGCTTGTGGAAGGCTACCCGAAACGTTTGACCCAAGTTAAACAATTTAAAGTTAATGCTACCAAATACTAATTGAGTGTATGTAAACTTCTGACCCACTGGGAATGTGATGAAAGAAATAAAAGCTGAAATAAATCATTCTCTCTATTATTATTCTGACATTTCACATTCTTAAAATAAAGTGGTGATCCTAGCTGACCTAAGACAGGGAATTTGTACTAGGATTAAATGTCAGGAATTGTGAAAAACTGAGTTTAAATGTATTTGGCTAAGGTGTATGTAAACTTCCGACTTCAACTGTATGTAGGCGTGTAGTGAAAGGCGGCATCGGGTTTTTGAAGGTGAAGAGGCCTTCATCTGCTGCCCAGCTGTTGTCATCTTGCCATGTTGTTCTCAATCTCAATCTCCAGCCCCTTCTCCCCCTCTTCCCCTCGGCCCCCCCCCCCCCCCCTTTTCCCCCCCCCCTTCCCCCCCCCCCGGGCCCCCCTTTCCCCCCCCCTTCGCCCCTCCCCCCCTTTTCCCTCCCCTCCCTCCTCTCCCTCCTATCCTGTCTCCCGCGTTTCCCCCCCTTCTCCCTCTTCTCCCCCCTTCTTCCTCCCCTTTTTCTTCCTCCCTTCCCCTTCTCCCCCTTTTTTTTCCTCTCCTCTCCCCCTCCCCTCCACACACACACACGCCTGCACCCCCAACCGCTCTCTGTGAAAATACTAAGACACTTCCTAGTGATAGCTCATCTTTTATCCTCAAAAGAAAACGTTCCAAATGGCTGCCAACTCCCTGCATCATGCCGACAAATGTTGTGGTGTATGTGTCAAATTTTTCCCGGCCCCAGGAGGCTTTAGCCCAAAAAGAGGGAGGAAGGGGCGAGGCGAAGAGAGAGCGAGAAAGAGAAGAGGGGAAAAGGAGGGAAAAGAGAGAGGAGGGAAGAGGAGGAGAAGAGAGAGAAGAAAGGGAGAGAAAGGGGAGAGAGAGGAAGAGAGAGAGGAGAGAGAAGGGGAAATTTGGGGAAAGGGGAAGGGGAAAGGGGGGAAAGGGGGGAAAGAGAGGAGGGGAAAGAAAGGGGAAAAAAGGGGGGGAAAGGGGAAGGGGAGGGAAAAGTGAGATCGGGGAAACCGGAAACGGTCCCAGTTGGGTTTTCCCCTTTGGGGAAAAACCGAGGGAGGGGCCAAAAACCCCCTCATTTGGGGATGTACTGGGGGGGCCCCCCAAAGGGGGCTAAGAACCAGTTTAGGGGTCTCTTTTTTTGGGGTGTGTTTCCCAGGTTTAAAGGGAGGGACCCAAATCCTAACCCAAGTGGGGGGATGAGCGCCCCTTTTGTTTTGTAGAGTACAAGTGGGAGGGGTATTGTTAAAAACTTTTAAAGGTTTAAAATAAACACGTTTTCTAACTCCTTAAATGCCAGATTTTTAATCCCTTCCCTCCCCTCTCCCCTCCTCCTTACGGTGGAGCACGCTCTGCCTCGAGACAGTAGAGATAACAGCGACTGGACCATAAGAAACCTCCAAAAGCGAACTCTCTCCTGTTTTCTCAAACTCCTTCAGTGCTAAAGATCCCTCCCTCCTCCCTCCCTCTCCTATCCTCCTCCCTCCATCCTCTCCTCCGCCCTCCTCCTCGCCACTCCCCTCTCGTCTCCCTTCCCCCCTCTTCCTCCTCCCTCCTCAGCCTCCCCCTCTCCTCCCTCTCCTCCGTCCCCTCTCCTCCGTCTCCTCCCCCTCTCTCCTCTCCTCCTCTCCTCTCCTCTCCTCCCCTCTCCTCCCGTCTCCTCCCTCTCCTCCCGTCTCCTCCCCTCCCTCTCCTCACCCTCTCCTCCCCCTCCACTCACTCCATCTCCTCCGCCCTCTCCTTTGCTCCATCCCCCCCCTCCCTCCGCTCCCCTCCTCTCCTCCCCTCTCTCCTCCTCTCCTCTCCTCTCCTCTCTCTCATCCTCGTCCTCCTTCCTCTCCCTCCCTCTCCTCTCTCCTCTCATCTCCTCCCTAATCCTCGCCTCTCCTCTCCTCTCCTCTCCTCCTCCGCTCTCCTCTCCTCTCCTCACCTCCTCCGCTCTCCTCTCCTCCTCCGCTCTCCTCTCCTCCCTCCCCTCCTCCTCTCCAGATGGTGTTGCTGGCTCGGTGTGAGGGCCACTGCAGCTACACGTCGCGCTCCGACCCTCTCATCTCCTTCAGCTCGGTGTTGAAGCAGCCCTTCAAGAGTACCTGTTTCTGCTGCAAGCCCCACACCTCCAAGCTGAAGGCTGTGAGGCTCCGCTGCGCCGGAGGAGCCCGCATCACCGCAACCTACCGCTACATCCTAGCCTGCAACTGTGAGGAGTGCAGCTGAGCAGAGTCCCAACGACTATTGGCCTTTTAGAACTGTGTTCTTGGGGACGGGAGGGTGGGGGATTTCTGAACCATGCAATAATAATAATAATGGATTTATATAGCGCATTTCTACCCACTGAGATACTGAAAGCGCTTTACATAGTAACTCACCTCATCCACCACCAATGTGTGGCACCCACCTGGAGGAATGTACCATTTCATGGTTCTACATGTGTTTCTAGACCTGACTGAGAAGTCAGTCATGAGAACCTTCATTCTTCTTGACTTTGTCCAAACGCTTTTTTTCAATCCTCTAAATTCACCACCTATCAGTCTGGACCAAGATTCACCTGAGCTCCTGTTCCTCATCCAGTGGCTCAGTCACCAACCTGAGCCCCATTAGGAACCCTGATCCCCAATTCTGTGTGTCTAGAACCAAGAGAACACTCGGCTCCTCAAGGATCCCAGAAGGAGCCATTTCTGCTAATCCATCCAGGGTAGATGAGATTTCCCAGATCCAATAGAATCTCCCCCATGAGTTCAGACCCAAAATAAACTTTTTCGGTTTCAGCCAAACTCTCAACACTCATTACAAGCAACAATAACACATATGCATGTGCATAGACTCGTATTCAATCACACATCCCCTCTCTAATTACACACACCCTCTCCCCACTCTCACCACTAATTACATGCATCAATAAAGTTATGGCGCCGACATCATAAAAACCCAACAACACAACATGCGCCATTAAAAGCAGCATGGGACAGAGTAGGCCGTGTATCCCTATGAGATACATGTGTATTAACTGTGGTTAACTACACCTTCACCCTGTCTCCTAGCCAGACCATAAACATTTAACACACTCCACCAGCTTTTCATCTATCTGTGTAAAACATGACAAACCCTGGCAGGCCATATCACCAGCTGATGTACTCTCAGAGGAAAGACTCTTACACCATGACTGCTTTGGCCCTAGCCAGAGGACTATAATGCAAAATGCATCAGAGTGCAAAAGTGGAGTTTCCGGAGGGACATTCTGTTGATGGGTGGGCTAGACACTATGGTTGGGAGATACAGTGATGGGAAGCCATTTTGCGGAGTGGTATATGGACTCTAAAGAAAAATGGTCAGTCAATGCTCTGTGCAACTGACGATATGGTGGTTGTTATTGTTGAAACTATTAATATTATTATCGTGCCAGAATTTATGATTACTGACACATGTTTTGCTATCATTAAGTACTTCACTAATTATGTAATTTCAATACTGAGATACTTTGAGAATGGAATCTATGTGTTACAGCTTGTGCTGCTCACCAGTCACAATTCAAATACATTCTTTTGACTTACTCTGGGTGTGTGCATGTTACCGCTTTAGTGCATTTAAGACAGTCCCAAACCATTGCATTTATGAGGAGTCAGGTACTATATCTATCTACCAGATGAAACTATGGGGAGAGGTTTCCATTTTGGAATAGAGTGGAATGGTGTTAAGATAATGTTGGACAAAACAAAGACCTCAGAGTCCCACAGAAGTGATGACTGAAGTGCTTCGAACTCCTGTCGAGAAAGAGATCACAGACACAGACACAGACACACACACACACACACACACACACACACACACACACACACACACACACACACACACACATGCCTTTGTTCTTAGCTATGGCCTCTAACTGTACCATCCTCTAGGAAATCATACAATTTCCTGGTCTGACTTTTTAATGCAGATCCCTGCTGACATGTCAACCTAATAAACACTCTTCCTTTTGTTTCTGGAGATTGATTTTTCCCTCACTGGCTGTCTCCTCTCTGTGTGTGTCTCCCTCATCAGCACACACACACACACATGCTCGCACACACACACAAACACACACACACCATTCTGTTCCATGAGCCAGGGGGTATAATTATGTGGACTGATTTGACAGCAGAACACAGTAGCATAATGCTTGTCACACTGACGCTAACAATGTTCTTATGGCTGCCCTAGAAGTGACATATGAATAAGATATTTGGCAATGCAAGCAGCCATGGTCACACACACACACACACACACACACACACACACAAACACATGCACACACACACACAGACACACACACACACAGTACTGTCATTCTAATAACAGAAACAACACCCTCAAATGTCAGCTATAGAATTCATTTCAGTCCCTCCAGGAATTCCTGGGTCAGAATTTTTCCAGGTGCGACACAATAAGGCGTATATGGTATTTTCATAACCCCTCAAAACATCCATATTTTAATACATACTTTTACTTTTCTCAAAAACGGTGATAATCATAACCATTCAACGTTCAATACAAATCATCCAAAGGAAATGGTTTGATCACAATTCGCCTTATGTTTCTATGTGGACGGATGATGACTTCACATCTTGCTGTTCACTGTCTGATGCTCTATAGAGTGGTCCAAGACACAACAGGATCCGTTTGGTCTGTCGCTGCACGGTAAAGTAGAATATCCTACATTTTTGTTTTAATCATATGCCGCGTTTCAGCACAACCAAAGGTCTTTATATTAGACATGAAGATCTCCTGTACTAGTGGTGAACCATGCCAGGTAAAAAGTTGATGTGTTGAGAGTTGTTCGTATAGATACTGGACGCCACACACACTGTTGTTGTAGAACAACATTATGTACTGGACGCTACACACACTGTTGTTGTAGAACAACATTATGTACTGGACGCTACACACACTGTTATTGTAGAACAACATTATGTCACGGTTTCGGCCGAGGCTGCTCCTCCTCCTGGTTCGGGCAGGCTTCGGCGATCGCCGTCCCCGGAGTACTAGCTGCCACCGCTCTATGTTTCGTCATTCGATTGCTTTTGTCTGTCTGTATCACCTGTGTCCATTTGTGTGTTGATTGCGTGTCTTATAAGTTCCTTGTTTTGTTCTAGTAATATTGTGTGTTGTTAATTTACTGCCACAGTGTCGGAGCTACGTCTTTGCTCCCTGTTTGTTTTGTGTTTTAGTGTTTACGCGTGTGCGTAATTCTCCCTCGCCTCTTTGTGTTTTTGAGGTCGGAGGTTTTCCTATTATACTTTGGACTATTAAATACTGTTGGACTTAACCTCAGTGTCCTGCGCCTGACTCCTCCACCACATCCACATCGGTTTAGTGACAGAGCAACACACCACCATGGAGTCAGCAGGAACAGCGGCGGCACCCGAATCCCTGGAGGACCGGATCAACTACCAGGACACCATGATCCGGCAACTCGGGGCCGCCATGGAAGAGGTGTCCAACACTCTGCGCCGATTGGTGAATCGAGAGGTGCCCACGCACTCTTACAACATCCCATCACCAACGGCCAGTCCTCCTCTCTCAGCACCGGAACCCAGTGGCATTCGGCTCTCGCTCCCGAGGGCATATGACGGTTCTGCAGCCGGGTGTCAGGGATTTCTCCTGCAGGTGGAACTTTACGTTGCCACCATACACCCGGCGCCCTCGGGATACGAGAGCGTCTCCGCCCTCATCTCCTGTCTATCCGGCAAGGCGTTGGAGTGGGCCAACGCCGAATGGAGGGGAATAGACGCCGCAACCATCACCTACGCGGAGTTCTCCCGCCGCTTCAGGGCTGTCTTCGATCATCCACCTGAGGGGAAAGCGGCGGGAGAGCGTCTATTCCACCTCCGACAGGGGAAGAGGAGCGCACAGGAGTTCGCACTGGAGTTCCGGACACTAGCGGCGGATGCGGGGTGGAATGAGAGGGCCCTCATCGACCACTACCGGTGTAGCCTACGAGAGGACGTTCGTCGTGAGCTGGCCTGCAGGGACACCAACCTGTCGTTCGACCAGTTGGTGGACATTTCCATCCGTCTAGACACCCTGCTGGCTACCCGCGGACGTCCCGAGTGGGGGTCGTCCATTCCACCCTCCAGCACCTCCGAGCCGATTCCCATGGAGCTCGGGGGTGCTGGCGCTAGAGAGAGGAGGAGAGGGAACCCGAGGGGGGCCATCCCCTGCACCACCTGTGGTCGTGGAGGACACACCGCGGCCAGGTGCTGGGGAGGGTCTCCTGGGAGAGGTGACAACAGGCCACGCACTGGGGAGTCATTTCAGGTGAGTAGGCGCCCCACTTACCCAGAGCTTTCTGTTGGTCACATGAGTATTCCTGTGAGATTTCCACAGGTGGCACCTCATTCCCAGCATAAGGCGCTAGTAGATTCAGGCGCAGCTGGGAACTTTATTGATCGGGCATTTTGTGGTAGGTTAGGAATTCCCCTTCGGCCGGTAGAAGCTCCATTTCCTGTCCACGCATTAGACAGCCGGCCGTTGGGGTCGGGTCTGATCAGGGATGTCACAGCACCACTGACGATGACGACGCAGGGGGGTCATGAGGAGATCATTCAGTTTTATCTGATTGACTCTCCTGCGTACCCCGTGGTGTTGGGCCTTCCCTGGTTAAGCACCCATGATCCTACCATAGCGTGGCAACAGAGGGCTCTTATGGAGTGGTCTGCCCAGTGTGTAGGGAGATGTCTAGGTGTTTCCGTAGGGGCGACCTCGGTAGAGAGTCCGAACCAAGTGCCCGCACTGCGCATTCCCCCTGAGTATGAGGATTTAGCACTCGTGTTTAGCAAATCGAGGGCAACACGGCTACCTCCTCATAGACAAGGGGACTGTGCGATAAATCTCCAAACAGGAGCAGCTCTTCCCCGGAGTCGTGTGTATCCCCTGTCTCAAGAGGAAACAGCGGCTATGGAGACTTACATAGCCGAGTCCTTGGCACAGGGATACATACGGTCCTCCACTTCCCCTGTCTCCTCGAGTTTCTTCTTTGTGAAGAAGAAGGACGGGGGATTGCGCCCGTGTATTGATTACCGTAGTCTCAATCAGATCACAGTTAAATACAGTTACCCACTTCCACTGATTGCGACGATGACGGAGTCATTACGCGGAGCGCGGTTCTTCACAAAGTTGGATCTCAGGAGCGCGTACAATCTGGTGCGCATTAGGGAGGGGGATGAATGGAAAACAGC